AAAAAAAAAAAAAAAAAAAAAAAAAATAAAAACAAATCCCAAAGTGTGTCCATGTCCGTACAATCCAAATGTCCACGATCGTCGTTCCTGTACAACCCAATCTCTTCGCGATCTTGAAAAAGAAATTACGTGGCAGAACTCATGGTACTTAATTGCTGTTTATTTCGAGGTATTATCTTTGTTATTGTCGACGACAAATAACTATTTATGCTCGGTAAACACGACAACTTTGTAACGATACTTAAACCCGTGTTTCCTCCTTGACGAGAAATGAAAAATAGAAAGAAAAGGGTTCGCGTGTCTCGGTTTATAGTCTGTTGGCGGAAGTTGAGGACAACACGCACGCGAAAAAAATTCACAACTCGCTACTTTTATATCACATTTAATCAGAAATAAAAAAATTTGTAATGCTAAAAATTTTTAAATATAATTTATCCATCTATTTTTCTATTTGATCTTTCCTTTTGTATTTTTATTTATAAATTTCAGAATAATGGTATAATTTATGAAATCTCATCATCTATTTTATTTTTTTTTCTCTTCATTCAAAATAACTGTTTCAAGTAAGAGATAATTTCAATTGTAATTAGAATAACAAAACTATTACTTCTCTGTTACAGATCAGAGGCAAAAAAGTAAAGGCGGCGGGAGTAGTTGCTGCTCAGCTTCCTGTTGCATACTTTAAAGAAAACGTTGGCTGCCCTGGATATTTTTTGAGGTCGTTCCGTGTGAGAGCCAGCTCCCATGTTCTTCAAGCTGAGCCATGGTTTCTAAGGTTTCGACGCTGGTGTATCATTGTTAGTGGCTGAGCCTCGTGAGCATTGTAGCAAAGCAAAGTTGTCACATCCTTCGCCGATTCATCTAAATTAAAATAAAAAAAAAAGGATTTATTTTGGTTCATCTGCAACGCACGCTAAAAACATCGTTCACCGTCCCAAGTGAACAAATTCTGTCATCATCAGTCTCTTGAAGAGAAAAAAATATAATGGAAAATTTCAAAGCCAGATTTATATGTCTATAACATCGTATAAATTCTAAAAAGAAATTGTAATGTAAGCCAAACAACATAATTTTTACATGTTGTTTTATATTTTGTTTTAGTAATTGTGTACACAAAAATCTATTTATAACTTATATCGCGTCAAAGAGATTGTCAAGTTTTTAGGCATATCGATGACCTGGTTCGGCATTGGAACACATAATATCGAAAACGCCGTTCAGCTTTCACGGTCCAGAAATCAAGAGGAAATTACGTGTTTCAAGGAACATCAACGATCATCCTGTTTGATTCGTTCGCTTTTGCAATTTATTATTAATTATACCACATATAAAAGAACATGATTCTAGTAAAATGAATTCCTCATCAGAAGAAAGGATGGATAGGATGTTAAAGCCTTTCAATGAAATAGGGGTTGAAAATACGCTCTGTTGAACGGCGCTACACGATGCTTAGAATCTCAACCACTATTCGACTATACTGCAGCGTTAAATAGTAATTATTATTGTAGACAGGATCCGTGAATGTGTTGCGTATGAATGAACATGTTGCATTTGAAAGATCAATGGAGAGGAAGAAAGAGTGTATGTATGTATGTGTGTGTGAAAGAAAGAGGGAGAGAGAGAGAGAGAGAGAGAGATAAATTTATGTTGTGATATGCAGGTAGTGAATATAATTATATATTATACATACTATTATTAAAATTATATATATTATATATATATAAAATTATATATATATATATAATGGTATGAGACATGTTGACACGCAGTTAAACTCTCATACACAGGATAGACTTTATTAACATGAATTTAAAGTAATATTATGACGCCACTTCGAGAGTTTAGTATTCTGGAATAAGATTACAGAGGAAAAAGAACATTGGATCTCTAATGGTAGTTATGATTAAATAAACATTCAAATATATTTCCTGTTAGCTCCTTTTCCCTATTCACCATTATTTCTTTTTTCTTTATGTATTCTTATTTTTTTCCATTTTTAAAATTCGCGCG